AAGCCAGTTCCACTGTAGATCTCAACTATAAAATGATGCTGCTCTCCTAAGTGTGAATGGAGTGATCATGGGTTTCTCTTGCCTTAATCTCACCATCATTCCTAAAAATTTGGAACATGGAGAGGACAGTTGAGAATGGAGAGGGAGTGAAAATAAGAGAAGGTGCACATGGGAATTGATGTATGTTCAGTTCCTTTCTTGTCTTTCTTAAAAGTCTAACAGGATTCTCTCCCTCCCCCCAACTCCCAAACAGGTCAGGAAGACGATGGTCAGGATTCTACGGAGCCATCTGTGAATTCATTGGGAAGAACAAAGAAACAGTTTAAATGCAGGGAATGTGGAATGTGCTTTAGTCACTGTAGAAAAATGAGGATACACCAACAAACTCACACAGGGGAGAAACCATTTGAATGCATGGAGTGTGGATGGAGCTTCAGTCACAGTGGAGCCCTCAGAACACATCAGCGAACTCACACTGGGGAGAAACCGTTTAAATGTATTGAATGTGGAAAGAGCTTCAGTCAGAACGGAACACTTAGAATACACCAACGAACTCACACTGGGGAGAAACCATTTAAATGTATTGAATGTGGAAAGAGCTTCAGTCAGAATGGAGCACTTAGGAGACATCAACAAATTCACATGGAGGAGAAACCATTTAAATGTATGGAGTGCGGAGAGGGGTTCAGTCACAGTGGAGCACTTACGATGCATCAACGAACTCACACTGGGGAGAAACCGTTTAAATGTATTGAATGTGGAAAGAACTTCAGTGAAAGTAGAAACCTTAGAATACATCAACGAACTCACACTGGGGAGAAACCATTTAAATGCACTGAATGTGGAAAGAGCTTCAGTCAGAATGGAGCACTTAGGAGACACCAACGAACTCACACTGGGGAGAAACCATTTAAATGTATTGAATGTGGAAAGAGCTTCAGTTATAGTGGAGAACTTAGAATACATCATCGAACTCACATGGGGGAGGAACCATTTAAATGCATTGAATGTGGAAAGAGCTTCAGTCAAAGTAGAAACCTTAGAATACATCAACAAATTCATACAGGGCAGAAACCATTTAAATGTATTGAATGTGGAAAGAGCTTCAGTCAGAATGGAGCACTTAGGAGACATCAACAAATTCACATGGAGGAGAAACCATTTAAATGTATGGAGTGCGGAGAGGGGTTCAGTCACAGTGGAGCACTTACGATGCATCAACGAACTCACACTGGGGAGAAACCGTTTAAATGTATTGAATGTGGAAAGAACTTCAGTGAAAGTAGAAACCTTAGAATACATCAACGAACTCACACTGGGGAGAAACCATTTAAATGCATTGAATGTGGAAAGAGCTTCAGTCAGAATGGAGCACTTAGGAGACACCAACGAACTCACATGGGGGAGGAACCATTTAAATGCATTGAATGTGGAATGAGCTTCAGTCGTAGTGCAGAACTTAGAATACATCACCGAACTCCCAAGGGGGGAAACCATTTAAATGTATTGAATGTGGAAAGAGCTTCAGTTATAGTGGAGAACTTAGAATACATCATCGAACTCATACGGCAGAGAAACCATTTAAATGCTTTGAATGTGGAAAGAGCTTCAGTAAAAGTGGAAACCTTAGAAGACATCAACGAACTCACACGGGGGAGAAACCATTTGAATGCATGGAATGTGGAAAGAGCTTCAGTCAAAGTGGAGACCTTAGAATACATCAACGAATTCATACGGCAGAGAAACCCTTTAAATGTATTGAATGCGGAAAGAGTTTCAGTCATAGTGGTGCCCTTAGAAAACATCAACGAACTCACACGGGGGAGAAACCATTCAAATGCATTGAATGTGGAAAGAGCTTCAGTAGTAGTGGATACCTTAGAATACATCAACGAACTCACACGGGGGAGAAACCATTTGAATGCATGGAGTGCGGAAAGAGCTTCAGTCAAAGTGGAACCCTTAGAATACATCAACGATCTCACACGGGGGATAAACCATTTAAATGTATTGAATGTGGAAAGAGATTCAGTCAAAGTAGAAACCTTAGAATACATCAACAAATTCATACAGGGCAGAAACCATTTAAATGTATGGAGTGTGGAAAGAGCTTCAGACAGTGTGGAGACCTTAATATTCATGAGCGAATTCACCCAGGTGAAAAGCCATATCAATGTATGCAGTGTTCCACTCAAGGTTCACTCTTTACTTCACATCAAGAAACTCATAAAGGCCGAAATCAATTTTAAATGCATGGAATCTGTGTGATGTTCTGGTGTTGGTATTTAAATTTGTATACACATATATATGTATTAAAGTAATGAGGGTCACATATACTGAATGTAGAAAAGAAGTTGCAAGTTGTTGCTAGATAAACGGGGAGAGTGTGAATCTGGAATGCTCAAGGTGTGTGATGAATCTGTTGAGTTTTGACCTCCGCCCTTCAATGCCAAAATGATGGGGTGCCCTTGTCTTGTGGATCAGCATCTGTCAGCTTCAGGGAAATGGGATACCTCAGATGTTGGGAAACAACGCCCATAAGCCTCAGCCCATATGGCCAAGATTGATTGGAGTTGTAGTTCAAAAGCTCAAGGGGGGAAAATCTCATGTGTCCTACAACGTTTCATTATGAATAATTATAGGTAAAACTTTTGTTGATACAGAGCTCATTTTTAGCTTCCAGGAGCAGCTGGTCACTTCTGCTTTATAAACAAACCCAAATATATTGACACACTTTACATTAAAACCAAATTTCAGAACAGAGACAATTTTTTTTTTAAAAGCCCCTTTTTTTCTTTACAAACCATTATCTTCTCAATCCAAGATTTGCTTTTCATATGTATAAAAATACTTGGTTAGCAAGGGGGGTACAGAAATAATAATAAAAAAGCTACAATAAAAGCATTATCAGCATTTAAAAAGAAATGCTAGTGGATGTTCAAGGCATTGAGTTACAAATTAAGGCAAAGATCAACCATTCTGCAAGCTGTTCCCCATCCAGTATTTCCCAGCTTCTGCCTTCTGAACTATGTTCCTCTGCAAACCACTGTTCCAAATCTGTACAGTCCTCCTGCTCCTGGGAAGATTCGGGGGAGGCTCCCACGAATGCGCCTCAGTGCAGCTCTCCTCAGCTGGGTCCCTGGTTAGGTTTTGGTTTAGGGGAGCAAGCATGGGCCTGGACCTTGGGTGGGGGCGAGGGGAGAAGGGAAGAGAAGTAGAGGGGATGCTTTTTCTGCGCAAGGCTAGTTCTTGTTTCTCCCAAGTATGCACCTGTAATCAGCGAGTGTGCATTTAGCGGGAGTGTATCCCTTTGTCTTGGAGTGCAAGATTATTCAGAAGGCCTTAGAGCAAAGCGCGTGTATCGCATATGTTAAGTTGATTGCAGCCTTTTTAAAAATTAATATTCTTTATTGATTAAAAAATTTGCATGTCTATACAAACATTATGTACAATCTCTTAACAGGTAGAAAAAACAAAATAATAGAAAATAGAATATTTATAAAGAAAGAAAAAAATAAAGAATTAACAAAGATAAGAAACCAAGAAATAATAGTAAGAATAAAAGACAAAGTTATTTACATAGTAAAACTACTCATCGACACAGTCCTTCCCATCCTTCTCATTATACTGTTTGATATAACATCCTTTTCACACAGGCTTACATTATATAATACCATTTCTTTTCTTTTTTTAAAAGATATTTATTAGAAGTTTAAAAATTACAGAAAAAAGAAAAAAGGAAAACAATAAAAGGTTTAACAGGACATACACCATAATACATAAAATGAAAAACACAAAAAAGCAATACAACAATACAACAAAAGAAACAGAAACACTAAAACACACATCCAATATTCCATATCTTTACCTTTCATTTACTTGTTTCATCGACCTCACACCTCCCTTTTTTGTATTCTAGTACAATTAACTATTTCAGCAAATTCTTTCCATCATTCTCAATTTTTGTTCTATAATTTATCTTAACGGTCTAACCTTAAATTTTTCCATTTTGGCCCATTATCAATCAGCTTTTACTTAATTCTTTATTACATTTCTGCTAAAACCATATAACTTCATTCCAGCATCCTTCTAGCATTCATTAATTTTGCAATGTTTTTGTAAATATACTTTAAATTTTTCCAATCTTCTTCCACCAACTCTTCTCCCTGGTCTCGGATTCTGCCAGTCATTTCCGCCAGTTCCATGTAGTCCATCATCTTCATCTGCCATTCTTCCCTGGTGGGTAGATCTTGTGTCTTCCAGTGCTTTGCGATAAGTATTCTTGCTGCTGTTGTAGCATACATGAAAAAGTTCTATCCTTCTTTGGCACCAATTGGCCGACCATGCCCAGGAGAAAGGCCTCTGGTTTCTTCAGAAAGGTATATTTAGATACCTTTTCATTTCATTATAGATCATCTCCCAGAATGCCTTAATCTTTGGGCATGACCACCAATGGTGAAAGAATGTACCTTCAGTTTCATTACATTTCCAACATTTGTTATCGGGCAGATGATATATTTTTGCAAGCTTGACTGGTGTTATGTACCACCTGTAGATTATTTTCATTAAATTCTCTTTTAAGGCATTACATGCCGTAAACTTCATACCAGTGGTATATAATACCATTTCTTTCTGCTTTGTATATATTATTTTGATCTTTTTCTTTACAAATATCACTCAATTTCTGCTCATATGGAGTTATTTGTGCAATAAAGTTTTACATAATTCTTAAATATTATCTATTCTCTAGTTGTTTTTTGTTTCAATATTCCTCTAACTGATCTTGTCAGTTTTGCTAATTGTAGTTATCATGAGTATCTGCCGATCTGTAATCTCTGGGAGCGTTTTATTTTTCCAGCTCCTTCCTATAAAGGTTCTAGCTGCTGTTATACCATACATAAACAATGATCTTATAACTTTTTAAATTTGTGATGGTAATATACCAAGTAGGAAAATTTTTGGTGTTTTGTTTTTTTTAAAGTAATTTTAAATAGTTTCTTAAACTCGTTATAAATACAGTGGTACCTCGCAAGACGAATGCCTCGCAAGACGAAAGATTTTTCCGTTTTTTTAGTCGTTCCGCAAGACGAATTTCCCTATGGGCTCGCTTCGCAAGACGAAACATCTTGCGAGTTCTTGCGAGTTTGTTTCCTTTTTCTTAAAGCCGCTAAGCCGTTAATAGCCGCTAGGCCGCTAATAGCCGCTTCGCCGCTAATAGCCGTGCTTCGCAAGACGAAAAAACCGCAAGACGAAGAGACTCGCGGAATGGATTAATTTCGTCTTGCGAGGCACCATTGTATCATTCCAGTATTTGCCAATGGCTACACCGGTCCACCACCTATGATAGTCTGACCCCTCCTCTTTTTTACGTCAGGTTGATGTTTTCCCTTTATACATTTTAGCAAGCTTTTTTGGGGTAAGATGCCATCTATATACCACTCCCTGCAAGGCCTTTCCCACCTGGCCTACGGGGCGGGGCCCAGACTCACCCAGCCCTACTATGTTAAATATGTATTCTGTAGTTGACCTTTGTAATGTGTTGTTTTGAAATCTTTAAGATAATAGTTTAGTTTTCTGTTACGCTGCTTTGACCGTATACTCTATATTTCACATTGTTTTATTTACCGTATTTTTCGCTCTATAACACGCACCCGACCATAACACGCACGTAGTTTTTAGAGGAGGAAAACAAGAAAAAAATATTCTAAACGGAACAGTGGATGTATGATTTTTGTGGTTCATGCTGTGGCCACAGACATGTGATCTGATGGCGAGTTTGGGGTAGCCCAATGCAAACATCCTGAGGATGCATGTGGAGCTGTGCTTTGTAACCACGTTTTAAGTGGGGAGGGAAGGAAAGCACTCAAGGGACAAGGAGCACGTGTGGAGTGTGTGGAGAAGGATGCTGCTAATAGTGCAGACGAGGGGTATAAGGGGAGAAGGCTCCTCTCCTCTCCTGCTTTTCTCCTTTAAAGCAAGCAGGCTCTGCTTCTCTCCCTCCTCCCTGGCTCATCCCCCCAGCTTAGCGAGCTGAAAATCTTTCCTGCTATTTAGCGAGCTGAGTGTGAAGGAGAGAGGGACAGAGAGCTTGCTTTAAAAGGAGCCAACCGGACACTCGTGTAAGCGGCTCCTCTCCACTCCCGCTTTGCTCCTTTAAAGAAGCAGGCTCTCTGTCCCTCTCTCCTCCCCACTCAGCGGCTCTTCTCCCGCTTTGCTGTTTCAAAGCGAGCCACAGAGGAGGGAAGCATTCGCTCCGTAACACGCACAGACATTTCCCCTTACTTTCTAGGAGGAAACAAATGTGTGTTATGGAGCAAAACTACGGTATGTTTTATTGATTTCGTATGCTGTAAATCGCTTTGAGGTTTTTCTTTAAATTCTAAAGTGGTATTGATATTATATTAAAATAGTATTGAGCAGGGATATCCAACATGGGGTTGCTCAGATGTTGGGCAACAACTCCCATAAGCCTCAGCCCATATGGTCAAGATTGATGAGAGGTGTAGTTCAAAAGCTCAAGGGTGGAAAATCTCACGTTTCTTACAACTTTTCATTATGAATAATTATAGGTTAAACTTTTGTTGATACAGAGCTCACTTTTAGGGAGCAGCTCGTCACTTCTGCCTTATAAACAAACCCAAATATATTGACACAATTTACTTTAAAAGCAGATTTCAGAACAGAGATAAACAATTTTTTTTAAAAAAAAGACCTTTTTAACTTTACAAAACATTGTGTTCTCAATCCATGATTTGTTTTTCATATGTATAAAAATGTTTATTTCTTGGCCCACCTCCCATCACTGTGGGGAGAGCCTGGGGCAAGCGATAAGAATGCAGGGTCGGCCTGACATCCATCAGTTCTCTGGCTCCGACAGCAGCCATCCAGGCATTTCTGCAAAACTCACAATCAGGACATGAAGGTGAGAGCCACCCTCTCTTTGTGAGGAAATCTCGTATACAAATAGCCAATTCAATTTCCTAGCTGCCACCTTTATGTGGCCAAAATGGAACCCTTCCTCCAAGGAAGAGAGGGAGGTACCAGTAACCTTGAGGCAGCTCCATTGGTTACGTATGTCCAATAAATTTTTAGGTGGGGGGAAAAGATAGCCAAAGCCACGCAATGAGAACTGGACATGGTCAGTGGATACCGAAAACTGGCTGTGGGGGTGGGGCGCTAGTGGACAGCAGGCATGGAAAACTGGAGAGGGATGGATAGCAATGGAGTGTGCTGGAAAAGGGTAATGTTTTGGACCAGAAGCACTGTGTGCCTCAGCATTTTCTTCCAGGTTTTAATGGACACGCTGCTCTGGTGCTTATCGCTGGAGACAGGGAGAGTACCTTGCCTTCAACTTCTTCTCAATGCCAGACTTCCGGTCAGCGCCAGCAGCAATGGCGGACCTCCTTTGAGTTTCGGAGGGGGTAGCTCAGCGGGAGATCAGGTCCTGTGCGCTTCGGCGAAGCGGGGACCCTCAGAAATCGCAGGCGCGGACGCCTGCGAACGTGGAGGCTCGGCGGGCACCTTGGAGCGCCCCCCCAACCCGAAAGGAAGCCTTTTTTTGAGGCTTCAGAAGGGAGCGGGGGAGAAGCGCGGTGCTGCGAGCGGATCGCTGCTTTCACTGAGCGAAGCCGTGTTGCCGTTGCTGGAGAGCGCTGACTTATTCCTGGGACATTTGGACTTAAAATTTAACCGTGAGTAGAAGAATTGGATAAAAGAGCATTATTTGGATTAATTGGACTATTTGTGAAAAAGCGGAAAAGTTTTAAGCCGTTTAAAAACGTCTGAATTGGCTACCGCGGTGGAAGCGTAAACAGGAAGTCCGCTTCCCTGCACTGTATATGGAATAAAGCATAGAGATTTGGAGCTAAACGTGGGAAAACTGAACTGAAATAAGTGTTTCTTTCTGACCTGAGAACTTTGGAGGGATCTACCCTTTGGAGGGATAAGGGAAAGACTCTTGATTCTACCGGACTGTTTAAATTGAAGGATTTAATGAGTGACCTGTCAGTGGGACGTCTCAGCTGTCAAAGCTGTTAAAGCTGCTTGTTGGTTGCAAAGGAGATACACTGTGGCCAACTTCATTGGGAAAAGATTGGAAAGGACTGGAAAGCTACACTGTGTTCTCTATTCTTGCCTTTCTACTTAGTATCTTTCTCCTGTTATTTCAAAAGGACAGTAACTTGCTAGGTGGTAACAGTGTCCATCTAGTGGGACTCCCTGCAATTACAGGAAAGGAAAGGAATTTTCCACTTATAAACAGGAACATCAGACGTGGGAAAGGAATTTGACCTTCACTTTGTTATGGCTGATGGTCAAAAAGACCAGTCAACTTTGAGATCAGGGAAACCTTGGACACATAGAAGGCAATCATCTGCTGGTTTGCCCGCATCGGCAATACAATCTAAGTCTGGTGGAATGTCTGAGGAACTTTTAGCCAGTGCTCTGACTAAGATTAATGAATCAATACAGCAATTAAGTACAAAAGTGGGGGAGACGAATAGGAAGGTGGAAGAGACGAACCAGAAAGTGGATATTGCAAACAGGAAAATTGATTTAAACACAGAAACATTAGGCAATTTGGAGAAAAAAGTAAACAGCAATACGGAATCTATTCAGAAACTACTGCAAGACTCAAAGTCTATACAGGAAAAAACTGCTGCTGTAGAATTTAAATTGGGGCAATTGGAAACTGAAAAAGTACCAGACTTGCAGAAAGAGATTGCAGAACATAAGTTAACGTTGTCTATGATTGACCTTAAAGACAAACAAACGAATCTTAGAATTAGAGCTGTTCCTGAGTTGGAGAAAGGTACCTTGATAGACTTTTTGACACAAGAATTTTTGGACTTTTGGAAATCGGAATTGAAACAAGAGGATTTTAAGATTGTGAGGGCTTTTCGACTGGGGAAAGGAGGAAGAAAGATCAAAATAAGGGACTGTTTGATCACCCTCCGATCCAAAGAAGAAAGGGACAAAATTTTGGGCTTGCATTACGAAAAACCTTTGACAATCATACAATCAAAAGTGGAAATCTTCAAAGATATACCAAAACATCTTCTTGATTTAAGAAAGGACTTTGGAGATTTGGTGGACTTGTTGAGAAAAAATAAAATCCTTTTTAGGTGGGGATTTCCCCAAGGTCTATCCTTTAGCTTCAAAGGAAGAAAGACCAAGATTAGATCAGTGGAGGAAAAGAACAAGTTTCTGAGTGCATACGAAGAAAATCTACAGAAAGGATTGGGAAAAGACATTGCGATACCGGATAAGGGTCTGCAAAAAAAAGTGAAACCAACGCCACCGACAGATATAGACAATCTTCTTGGGGCTGTTGGAGGAGAAGGAGAGTAACTACAAAATGACACTACAAATTTTAAGCTGGAATATTAACGGTCTAAATTCATCGGCAAAAAGGGGGAGAGTATTTCATACATTGAAAAAAGAACATTTGGACTTGATTTGCCTACAAGAGACTCATGTGACAAGGCTACATCGGAAAATTTTGATAAATAAAAGATTGGGAGAGGAATTTATTTCATCGGATAATGTAAAAAAAAAGAGGGGTAGTACTTTATGCGAAGGAAAGCCTGTCACCAAAATTTATATTTAAAGATGATCAAGGAAGATATATAGCAATTGAAATTCAATTCCAAGGACAGAAATTTTTGATAATAGGCGTATATGCACCAAATGAGGGAAAATCAGAATTCTTTAAGAAACTGCATGAAACTCTCCTGGATTATTTGGATTACAACATTATTTTGATGGGAGATATGAATGGAGTAGTGTCTACAAATATGGATAAAGCCCAAAGACAAACAGTGACAAAAGATGGAAGACTGCCAAGGACATTTTTGAAATGACTGACAATATGGATCTTGTGGATATTTGGCGAATAAAGAACCCCTTGGAAAGAGAAGGAACCTTCTTCTCTGAAGCAAATATGACATGGACAAGAATAGACCAAATCTGGATAACTAGAGGACTGGCTCCTAAAATTAAAAAGCGGTGATTTGCCCGAAAATTTGCTCTGATCACAATCCAGTAAAGATTGAAATGATATCAACGCCAATTGGGGCCTTTAGATGGAGGATGAATGACTCCTTATTTAGGAATGAGGAAATTATTAAAAAGGCTCAGAAGAATTTGAGAGACTATTTTGAAATAAATTTGAATACTACGACAGAAAAAAGAGTGATTTGGGATGCCAGCAAAGCGGTGATGAGAGGATTTTTGATACAACAAAATGCAATTAGGAAAAGATATCAAAATGAGAAGAGAGTAAAAATTTTGGAGAAAATTAAGGATGGAGAAAAAAAGACTGAGAGCGAAACCGAACTCACAGGAGATTTTAAAAGAGATAAAGCTATACCAAGTACAATATATGAAATTGATGAACCAGGAGATAGAATGGAAGATCAAACAGATGAAACAAAAGACTTTCGAATCGGCAAATAAATGTGGGAAATTATTGGCCTGGCAAATGAAAAAAAGACAAAAGCTGAATACGATTACGAACTTGGTTGTAGAAGGGAAGAACATACAGAATCCTGGAGAGATTCGGAAGTGCTTTCAGAATTATTTTAAACAGTTATATACGCAGGAGACTCAGAAAGAATTAGACATTGACCGATTTTTGGAAAATAATGGATTACAAAAAGTATCTCAAGAGAGTAAATCAATATTAAACTCTACAATATCTGATCAAGAGGTGGAAGGAGCCATTCAGAATATGAAATTGGGCAAATCTCCAGGGCCGGATGGACTAACTGCAAAGTACTACAAAACTTTGAAAGAATGGTTACTGCAACCGTTGAAAGAACTTTGTAATGAAATACTACGGGAGGAAAAGCACCCGAGTCGTGGAAAGAAGCATACATTACACTTATACCAAAAACCGAAGTGGAGAAGACACAGTTGAAGAACTACCGTCCCATATCCCTATTAAATGTGGATTACAAAATTTTTGCCGAAATTATGGCTAAAAGATTAAAAAATGTATTGGTAAAAGAGATTCATAAAGACCAGGCGGGCTTTCTCCCTGGGAGACATTTGTCAGACAATACTAGGAACATTATTAATATTTTGGAAAAATTGCAAGTTAATATCAATACTAAAGCTGTTTTAATATTTGTAGATGCAGAGAAAGCGTTTGATAACATTTCTTGGAGTTTTATGAAGAAAAATTTGCAGGGGATGGGGTAGGCCAAAGTTTTGAAAATGGTATAGGTGCAATTTATTCGGAACAAAAAGCTAAGCTTATTGTGAACAATGTAGTTACAGAAGAATTTAAGATAGAGAAAGGAACAAGACAGGGTTGCCCAATCTCCCCATTGCTTTTTATATCGGTCCTGGAGGTTTTGCTCAATATGATTAGAAAAGACCAATTGGTTAAAGGTATACAACTCGGAGCTAAACAGTACAAACTGAAAGCTTTTGCCGATGACTTAGTTTTGACATTACAGGAGCCAGAAGCTAGCACAAAAAGAGTGTTACAATCAATCCAAGAATTTGGTCAAGTAGCAGGTTTTAAATTAAACAAGATGAAAACTAAGGTATTAGAGAAAAACCTTACAGAGACTGAGAAGGAGAGGTTTCAGAAAGAGACAGGATTAACAATTGTTAATAAAGTGAAATATCTAGGGGTGAATATGACTGCCAAAAATGTGAATCTGTTTAAAGATAATTATGAAAAATGTTGGTCAGAGGTGAAGAAGGATTTAGAAATATGGTCAAAATTGAAGTTATCATTGTTGGGCCGAATTGCAGCGATAAAGATGAATGTATTGCCTAGAATGTTGTTTTTGTTCCAAACATTACAAATTGTGGATAAAATGGACTGTTTCAAGAGGTGGCAAAGAGATATTTCCAAATTTATCTGGCAGGGCAAAAGCCTAGAATAAAATTTAAGATACTAACAGACGCGAAGGAAAGAGGGGATTTGCCCTGCCAGATCTTAAACTTTACTATGAATCAGCCGCTTTTTGTTGGCTGAAAGATTGGCTACTTCTTGAAAATGTGGACATTTTAGATCTAGAAGGTTTTGATAATGTGTTTGGGTGGCATGCATATTTATGGTATGACAAAGTCAAAGCGCATAAGGCCTTCAAGAATCATATTGTCAGGAAAGCATTATTCAATGTTTGGGTGAGATATAAGGATTTGTTGGAAAGTAAAACACCAAGGTGGCTGTCACCAATGGAGGCAAAGGCATTGAAAAAAACAAATATGGAGACAAACTGGCCAAAATATTGTGAAATTTTAGAACAAGTTGGAGATAAATTAAAATTGCAGAGCTTTGATAAATTAAAAACTAAAGTTCGAGATTGGCTGCACTACTATCAAATAAGGGAGGTTTTTAACCTAGATAAAAGATTGGTTTCCAGGAGGAAAAATCTAAACTGGAAACGGAGTTGTTAGAACCTAAAACTAAAAATCTGTCAAGAATGTATAATCTGCTGTTGAAATGGAATACACAGGATGAAATGGTTAAATCTGCTATGATTAAATGGGCGCAAGATGTTGGGCATAATATCATGTTTGCTGACTGGGAACGGTTATGGACCACAGGTATGAAATTTACGGCTTGTAATGCCTTAAGAGAAAACATAATGAAAATGATTTATAGGTGGTACTTAACCCCAGTCAAGCTAGCAAAAATCTATCATCTGCCTGATAATAAATGTTGGAAATGTAAAGAAAATGAAGGTACTTTTTTCACCTTTGGTGGACGTGCCCAAAGATCAAGGCCTTCTGGGAAATGATATATAATGAATTAAAAAGGTATTGAAATATACTTTCTTGAAGAAACCAGAGGCCTTCCTCTTGGGCATGGTCGGCCAATTGGTGCGAAGGAAGACAGGAATTTTTTATGTATGCGACAGCAGCGGCAAGAATACTTATTGGGAAATACTGGAAGACACAAGAATTGCCTACCCGAGAAGAATGGCAGAGAAAAGTGATAGACTATATGGAACTGGCTGAGATGACCGGCAGAATTCGAGATCAGGAAGAAGGGTCGATGGAAGAAGACTGGAAAAAATTTAAAATATATCTTCAGAAACACTGTAATATAAAAGAATGTTAGAAAAGGTTGGAGAAGAATATTAGATCGTATTGGCAGACAGAGTATAATGGAATAAGTAAATATGAAGTGTAAAATAAAGATAGAGGAGAATTAAATACTTTCGAATGTTAAAATAAGTAAATGAAAAGAAGGTTAGAAGGATTTGCTGGAGATACGATTCAAATTAGAATACAAAGCAGAGAGGTGAGAGGAAGTCATGGAAACAAGTAAATGGGAAGACGGTTGTAATGGTTTAATTTGATTTTTGTTATTTTTTATTGTGATTTTTTGTCTTCTGTATTTTTCTTTTTACTGTCTGTCTTTTGTAAGATGTATGTGATTTTTTTTTTCTTTTTCTTTACTTTTTTTCTTTTTCTGTAATTTCAAAATTGGAATAAATATATTTTTTTTTTAAAAAAAAACTTCTTCTCAATGCCAGCATCCCCCTTCCTTCATCCATAGCCATATATGACAATTGCTGAGCCTGATGGGGGTTGTAATTCAGCAACATCTGGAGGGCCAGAGGTTCCCAAACTTTCCTGCAGGCTCCGGCCTAAGACCAAGTTCATCAGAGTTGGGTACTTGTTGGCTAAGAGCGCCGGGGATGATGGGAGTTGTAGTCCCAACAACATCTAGGGACCCAAGATTGAATGATGCTGGCTTGTAGGACATATTGCTGCCTAGGCTAAGCAGTCCTGGGTCTTGGGAGGAGGCCACAGGTATACCACCTTGAGTTTCATGATGGAAGAAAGGAAGGATATGGCAGCAGGAAACTAGAATGTTTCTTAAATAAATCAAGGCCCCTGGTTGCTTTTTGCTGAGCCCTGCTTTATAGGCCCACAGGACTCTGCCTCATGTTGGATTTTGGGCAGGGGGGACGTGTGTTGCCAGGATACTGTTTTGATCCAGCTTGCATTCTTTCTGTACAAAGAATGTAAATCATTTTAATTGATTTTAATAGCATTCTGATACTGCTTTAAACTGCCCAGCAACACCTTCAGGTCATGTGTGTTTCCCTTGTTGATTCCAATATCCATCCGGTCAAGACCAGACCCAGAGGCATGGATAGTCTTCAAACAACGACTAAGCCTGCCTCCTCGGTAATGACATGGTCTGGTCTTAGCGTATCTCCTCCTCCTGCCCATGATCACTGAGTTCAGATGTCCCAGTACATCCCGCCCCCCCCCCCCGGAACCTGCTCCAGCCATTCTGTTGGCTGGGGCCCACTCCCATGCAGCCCTGATCCCGCCCCTTAAAAACAAAACACAAACTATACAACAACCAATAAAACAACAAAAAACAAAACAGTTATACTCAAATTAATCCCCAGCCAGATATCCACCCCCCCAACAGAGCAACAAAAGTAGGGGGAGAAGAAAAAAATTAAAATGCCACCAACTGCTTAAGAGCATTTTAAAACACATTAGACACTCATTTCTATAGCATGTGAGCCTTTGTGTCAGTGTCAGGTAAACAGGTATTTTGTTTTTATTGGTGGTGGGAGAGACCAGAGTGTCCAGGAGGCTTTTGGTTGCAGGATATTCGTCAAAGCAATGCTCAATCTCTGTGGTATTTCAGAGTGACCCCCAGTGGTTGTTTACACATGCGAGGGATCCATCGCCTGCTGCAGTCAACATGTGGCAACCGTGTGCGTCTAAACTCCTGGGAGGTAGAGACCCAAATCTGGGGATGGCAGATCTCTAGCTAGGGATTGACCCAAGCTCCTTCTGCCCGCTGACCAGAAAAGCCATATCCCCCACAAAAAAAAAGCCCACCCTGAGATTCCTTCTCCTTTCACTCTCCAGTTTTACAAAGGCAAACTCCTATTAGGCAAAGGCGGGTTGCAGAACTAACAAAATTTTGCTTTAAAAAAAAAATTGTGGTGGTTCTCTCATTGCGAATAAGTGAGGTTCATAGACCACAGAATGAAAGAGTTGGAAGGGACCAAGAGGATCTTCTAGCCGAACCCCCTGCAATGCAGGAATCTTTTTGACAAGGTGGGGCTCGAACCCACAACCCCGAGAGTCTCATGCTCTACCAACTGAGTTATCCCAGGACTTGGATCAAATTCAGCTGGCAGGATTGCAATGAATCGGGAGCAAAGCTTTTGTATGAATATATTACCCTCAAGTTATTCTGATGTTTCCAAATGCACTGGTACAAATAAATTTTAAGACTGAACAAGTGGTATTATTATTATAATTATTATTATTATTATTCCCCAGCCAATTTGGGCGGCTTCCAGCAAAATATAAAAACATAATAAGACATCAAACAAAAAACTTCCTGATTCTGCTTCTTTGACAGAAGCCGACAAATTTAGGACAGATGCTCTATATCAACTCAATGACAGGGAACCAGGCAGAGGGCCTTCTTGGTAGTGGCACCCGCTCTGTGGAACGCTCTTCCGTCAGATATCAAGGAAATAAATATCTATCTGACTTTTATAAGACAACTGAAGGCAGCCCTGTATGGAGAAGCTTTTAATGTTTGATGTTTCATTGGTTTTTAAAAAATATTCTGTTGGGAGCTGCCCTAGTGGCTGGGGAAACCCAACCAGATGAGCTGGTATAAATAATGTGGTTGTAATATTAATATTATTATGCTTAATTGAATAGCAGTTCCCGGAAGCCGCCGGAGGGAAGGGATGCACTTGGGCTCCAATCCTCCTTGCAGGCTTGGCCACCGTGAGGAGACAGTGCTGAGATTCCTGCATTGCAGGGGGTTGGACTAGATGACTCTCAGGGTCCCCTTCCATCTCTATGATTCTAACTGGGTGCGGGACTAGATGGGCTTGATCAAACTACAGGGCTCTTCGTGGGATCTGTGTGTGCATGCAGACGAACGTTTTTCTGTGTGTGTGTGTGTGTGTGTGTGTGTGTGAGAGAGAGAGAGAGAGAGGGAGAGAGAGAACCTTCAGGGAGAGGCCCCTGTCTCTTCTTTGCAACGAGGATGAATCAGCTGCAATACCCCTCTCCCACCTGACCCACAGCTTCCCTGCCTGCTCTCTCTCCACCACCAACCCAATTATGGGTATTGCATTGCATGCGCCCCCAAAGCTTGCTGCACCCCGAGGCGCTTTGCACTCACCGGATTCCTTGCAGGACAAGCGCAGTGCATGACGGCAGAGGGGGCGGGTCAGCTGTTCTAATTAAGCCGCGCGCCCTTTCCCAAATCAGTATGGAGCAGCAGCACCCTCCCCTCTAGCAGCGTGCACTCTCTGCCTTTAACCTTTAAGGCAGTGAGCATATATTCCCTATACTCGAAGCCCAGGTTCCCTCCCTCCTCTCCCCATTGGCTGGGTACTGCAATTATCCCGCCCAGGCGGGGGCTCCCATTCCTGCCTGGCTGCCCAGGGTCGCTGCCACCATCGCCAGGATTTCGGGTGAGTGCAAAGCCAGCGGCGGGGAAGGAGGGAAGGGGCTTGGCAAGGGGTGGGGGTCCAGGATGAGAAGCCCCGGGACGGGGAGAAGAGAAGGGAGGAAAGGGAGCTGTTCTTTTTAACGGGGCCTTGAAGGTGGATTGGGGGTGGGGGATTTCCGTTGTGGAAAGAGAGAAGCTTCCTCCTGCCCGGATGTGATGCAAAGGATGTTGCAGGGAAGGAGGCGGGAAAGGGGAGAGGGTTGGGCATTGCAGACCAGCCTCGCCATAATAATAATAATAATAATAATAATAATTAATAATTGCAGACCAGCCTCGCCATAGTAATAATAATAATAATAATAATAATAATAATAATGAATGAATGAATGCTATTTATACACCCCCCCATTTTCTGGATTTCCTCAGCCACTCTGGGCGGCTTCCAACAAAATAAGAAACACCAAAAGCATCCAAGTCTTCCGTTTTGTAGAGGAGATGGGGACATGGAAGGGGCTTGGCAAGGGGGTGGGGGGTCCAGGATGAGAAGCCCCGGGACAGGGAGAAGCGGCCTGCACAAGTTCCAGGCGGGGAGAAGAAGAGAAGGGAGGAAAGGGAGCTGCTCTTTTTAATGGGGTCTTGAAGGTGGGGGGGGGGGCGTGTTCCGCTGTGGAAAGAGAGAAGCTTCTTCCTGCCCGGATCTGGGGCAAAGGGAGTTGCAAGCAATGAAGCGGGAAAGGGGAGCGGATTGGGTATTGCAGACCCGGCTCGCCATAGTAATCATAATATAAATAAATAAATTATATTTATACCCCCCCCTCATTGTCTGGGTTTCCCCAGCCACTCTGGGCGGAAAAACATCCAAACATTCAAGTCTTCCGTTTTGTAGAGGAGATGGGGACATGGATTGCTGAATGGCAGAGGGAGAAAGGGGAAAAGATGGGGAGGAAAACAAAGGCAGGGGGGTCCTGGCAGGAAGAAGGAAGGGGTGAGGCCTTCTCCAAAGCAGCTCTTGATTTCTTGAACTCCTTTCATAAAGTAGTGGGGGCAGGGCCGGATCACTTTCTATGTACATAAGGCTGAAGTAACATAATTTATCTTGAGACATTGTTGTTCCGAATTCATTTTTTATCCTCTTCAGTCAAGAAACGGATCTTTACAAATGGCAATTTGCAATCATCATTCAGAGGAACATTCTCAGAATTGCTTCTACATTAGGGAATGCTGATTGGACACTGTTGTTGTTCTTTAGTCACTTAGACGTGTCTGACTCTTTGTGACCCCATGGACGAGAAGCACGCCAGGCACTCCTGTTTTACACTGCCTCCTACAGTCTGGTCAAACTCATGTTAGTAGCTTTGAGAGCACTGTCCAACCATCTCGTCCTCTGCATATAAGTTAAATAAGCAAGGAGACAATATACAGCCTTGTCGTACTCCTTTCCCAATTTTGAGCCAATCAGTTGTTCCATATCCAGTTCTAACTGTTGCTTCTTGTCCCACATAGAGATTTCTCAGGAGACAGATGAGGTGGTCAGGCACTCCCATTTCTTTAAGAACTTGCCATAGTTTGCTGTGGTCCACATTGTCAAAGGCTTTTGCGTAGTCAATGAAGCAGAAGTAGATGATTTTCTGGAACTCTCTAGCTTTCTCCCTAATCCAGCGCATGTTTGCAATTTGATCTCTGGTTCCTCTGCCCCTCCAAAATCCAGCTTGTACTTCTGGGAGTTCTCGGTCCGCGTACTGCTTAAGCCTGCCTTGTAGAATTTTAAGCCTGCCTTATAGAATTTTGACTGGGAGCGGCTGCTGAAAGACCTACAATGGCTCCCCATACGTTTCCGAGCACAATTCAAAGTGTGTGTGTTGACCCTTAAAGCCCTAAATGGCCTCAGCCCAGTATGCCTGAAGGAGCGTCTCCACCCCCATCATTCTGCTCGGACAGTGAGGTCCAGCGCTGAGGGCCGTCTGGCGATTCCCTCATTGCGAGAAGCAAAGCTACAGCGAACAAGGCAGAGGGCCTTCTCGGTAGTGGTGCCCACCCTGTGGAACGCCCTCCCATCAGATGTCAAAGAGATAAACAACTACCTGAGATTCAGAAGACATCTTAAGGCAGCCCTCTTCAGGGAAGTTTTTAATGTGTGACATTTTAGTGTATTTTTGGTCTCTGTGGAAGCCGCCCAGAGTGGCTGGGGAAACCCAGCCAGATGGGCGGGGTACAAATATTAAATTATTATTATTATTATTAGCATAACCTTGCTAGCGTGTGAAATGAGCACAATTTTGTGGTAGTTGGAGCATTCTTTGACGCTGCCCTTTGGGATTGCGTTCTAGACTGATCTTCTCCAATGCTCTGGCCACTGCTGAGTTTTCCAAACTTGCTGGCATATTGAGTGTAGCACCTTAACAGTATCATTTTTTAAGATTTCGCTGGAATGTCATCACTTCCATTGGCCTTGTTATTAGCAGTGCTTTCTAAGGCCCATTTGACTTCACTCTCCAGGATGTCTGGCTCAAGGTTATCAGTCACACTATCTGGGGTGTATGGGACATCCATATCTTCCTGGCATAATTCCTCTGTGTATTCTTGCCACGTCTTCTTGATGTCTTCTGCTTCTGTTAGGTCCTTACCACTTTTGTCCTTTATTATGGTAATCTTTGCATAAAATCTTCCTTTAATATCTCCAATTTTCTTGAACAGATCTCTGGTTTTTCCCCATTCTATTTTTTCCTTCTATTCTTGGCACAGCTCGTTTAAGAAGTCTCTTTTGTCTCTCCCTGCTATTCGTTGGAAGTCTGCATTCAGTTACCTGTATCTTTAACTATCTCCCTTTCATTTTGCTTGCCTTCTGTCCCCCACGGTTTGTAAAGCCTCATTGGACAACCACTTTGCTTTCTTGCATTTCCTTTTCATTGGGATGGTTTTCATTGCTGCCTCCTGTATGATGTTCCGAGCCTCCATCCATAGTTCTTCAGGCACTCTGTCCACCAAATCTAAATCCTTAAATCTGTTCCTCTCTTCCACTGTGTATTCATAAGGGATTTGATTTAGATGGTATCTTATTGGACCAGTGGTTTTCCCTCCTTTCTTCAGTTTAAGCTTGAATTTTACTATAAGAAGCTGATGATCTGAGCCACAGTCAGCTCCAGGTCTAGTTTTTGCTGACTGTATAGAGCTTCTCCATTTTTGGCTGCAAAGAATATAATCAATTTGATTCCGATGCTGCCCATCTGGTGATGTGCATGTGTAGAGTCATCTCATGTGTTGTTGGAAAAGAGTGTTTGTTATGACCAGCTTGTTCTCTTGACAGAACTCTATTAGCCTTTGCACTGCTTCGTTTTGAACTCCAAGGCCAAACTTACCAGTTGTTCCTTTTATCTCTTTGACGCTCTACTTATATTCCAGGTTCCTATGCAATATTTTTCTTTGCAGCACTGGACTTTCCTTTCACTTCCCGCAAGTGAGCGACCTTTCGGCTTCTGCCCAGCTGCTTCATCAGCTCTGGATCTACTTGTACTTGTCCTCCGCTCTTCCTCAGTAGCATATTGGATGCCTTCCGACCTGAGGGGTTCATCTTCCAGTGTCATAACTTTTATACGACCATGGAGTTTTCTCAGCAGGGATACTGGAATGGCTTGCTGCTTCCTGCTCCAGGTGGAGCACGTTTAGCCAAAACTCTCCACTTTGACCTGTCTGTCTTGGGTGGTCCTGCACGGCATAGCTCATAGCGTCTCTGAGTTATTCAAGCCCCTTTGCCATGACAAGGCAGTGATCCATGAAGGACATGGTCATTAAATATTACTTGGTACAGATCCTTGATTCAACTGATTTCTTATTATAGCAGTTACTTTTGCCAGAATTAAATATTCATTTAGTTTACAAATCCATTCCTCTTTTGTGGGTATAGTTTTTGGCTTCCACCTAGCAGCAATCACTATTCTAGCAGCTGTACTTGCATACGGAAAAGTTCTCTCCCCCCCCCCCCCCGTGGTATCTCATCATCTGTCAATCCAAGGAGATATGTCTCTGGTTTGTTTGTTTTTGATATTTTCAACATCTTCTTTAGTTCTTTGTGTACTACTATCCAAAATTTCTTAATTTCCTCACAACTACACCACATATGTGGTCCAGGCAGTGGTATTTATATGATTTCAAACAAAGCATTTCTATTTCAACCAATCATATACACCAGAGATGTCCAAGCGCTGGACTGCAATCGACAGGCAGACCTCTGTGTTGTTTTGGGTCGATTATGGGACCTTTGAAGGCCCTGCCCCTCTCCGCAAGCACTTCTGCACATGCTCCTGTTTCTGTTTTTGCTCTGCAGTTCCTTGTTTTAATGTTTGTTGTTGCAAAAAGAATTACATTTTTCTTGCATCCCCCGCCTCCTTAAAAAAGTCCATTTGCAGTTGCACATTCCTGATATTCATCATTACCTCATTTTATTATAATACACATGCGCAACAAGCACTTGCAATTTCTGCTGAATATGTTCTGATCCCTACCGCATTCTGTGACATTGTGTATGTGCATGTTGGGAACCTGTGTTACATGCAGCCATTTGCATCATGTGGCGACTCATGTTCCAGCTTTCAGCTGTATCTTTGTGATTCCCATATTAGCTCTATTTCTGCCCCAACTGGGGGGCGGCAACTTGCAAAATAATCAGTTTCATAAAGCACAGGCTACCATAATTTCTGTATTAGAAGCACACTCAAGGATTTAAAGGGGTAGACATTATCACATTTTTTGTGGCCCTTTGGGCAACTGCCACAAGGCCACTACTTCCCATACCATGCCAGCCTTGGGAAGGGAGAAGGGACAGGCAGATGGAAGGAATTGCCAAAGGTGTTTGAAAATGGGTGGAGGCTCTTGGGAAGCGGGTGCCCAATAGGGGCTTCTACAGGGGCAGCATAATGTCTTGGGCAGAATCCCTGCAGGAGCTCTGAGACTCCCTTGACTTCTTCCTTCCTCCCAGGAAGCTACAACTTGCCCTAGCTCCTGCGCTCCTCAAGAAGTTGAACCTGCAAGCCTGGTCAGGATGGACGCAGGAAGTTGGACAGCTGACCTGGTCAAGCTGTCTCCTGCATCCCTCCCTACGACCTCTGAGCATCCCCTCCCGGGACCCTCAGAGAAATCTGGTGAGTTCCAGGGGAGAGGAGATGGGGACATGGATGGCTGGGTGGTGGAGGGAGAAAGAGGAAAAGATGGAGAGGAGACCAAAGGCAGGAAGGGCCAGGCAGGAAGAAGGAAGGAAGGAAGGGAGGGAGGGAGGGAGGGGTGAGGCCTTCTCTAAAGCAGCTCTTTGTTTTTGGAATCCCTTTCATAAAGTAGTGGGGGCAGATTTTCTTTATGCTTTTAAATCTCTGGTGTTATTTCCAGTGCAGGATTAATTGATGATAATGATGTTGCACACCAATTCAGAAAAATGGGTGAAGGGGCTATGGAAATGCTTCCCGTCATTATTTATACTTCATATATTTAAATAGTTTATATTACTTTTATTTTTTTAAAGACTGGGTCAGAGTGATACATTCCACTAGCAGCAAAATACAGTAGATGCATGAACCTCCCCAGTTTGGTGGGCTTTTCGGACAAAGGACCTGTTATCATGATACACAATACCTGTGGCTGGAGGCTCTACACATAGGATTCGGCATATGAAGCTACCAAGGGTGGCCAGGACTATAAGCAAATTGTGTGAACTTACAGACAGGGGTTGTGTGTGAGAGTGAGTGAGTGGGATAATAATTTATAGCGCCCCTGTAATTCTGTCCCTCCATAAACTTACATGGAGATACAGTGGTGCAACCTTGGTACAAATTTCAAAATCAGTGCACAAAACCAACAAAGAGGGTTTATAGTGGCACCAGCTTTCCTAATCAAGAGTCCACTTTGTCAGATTGCAGCCCACAAAAGCTTAGGTCATAATACCTTTATGAGCCTTTTAGGGCTGCAAAATATGAGTAAACAGAAGCACACGAGACAGTGATTGCCAGCAACTAGGATAGCTTGAAAAAAATGATTAGACTGATGCCTGTGCTCTGCCCTCATGTTCTTAGGCAATAATGCTTCTTAATACTAGTTTCTGGAAAGCACAGGAGGGCAGAGGGCTCTTGGGCTGAAATCTTGCTTGCTGGTTTCCCCCAAGCATCTGCTTGGCCACTTTGAAAACAGGATGCTGGACTAGGTGGGGCTTTACCCAATCCAGCAGGGTCTGTTTAGGTTCTAATATATTGCAATATTTTTACAGTTACATGTAGCATAAGAACACTTCACTTTTACTTCTTACTCATAGGAGAGAATGCTGTTGGAGCCTGAGATAATTTCCTCACTTGAAAAAGAAAAAGACAGATGTTTCTTATAAGCCAGTCTTATAAGCCAGTTCCACCGTAGATCTCTATTATAAAATGATGGTGCTTTCTTAAGTGTGAATGGAGTGATCATGGGTTGCTCTTGCCATTATCTCATCTTTAGTCCTAAAAATTTGGAACATGGAGACAGTGGACAATGGAGTGAAAATAAGAGAAGGTGCACATGGGAATTCACATGTGTTCAGTTCTTTTTTTGTCTTTATTAAAAGTCTAACAAGATTCTCTCTCCCCCCCCACTCCCAAACAGGTGAGGAAGATGGCGGTCAGAATTCTACGGAGCCATCTGTGAATTCATTAGGGAGAACAAAGAAACAGTTTAAATGCAGGGAATGTGGAATGTGCTTTAGTCACTGTGGAAGAATGAGGATGTTGGTTTCTGTTTTCCTTCACTGTGCAGCAACTGCAGTCACAAGACAGGTGTTTACATTCCACAGTCTGTACTGTTGGGTTTCTCACGGGAAAGGGAGACTGGATGTGACGTACACTGGTTTCCTGTTTTTACACTGTGTGTTTTTCTCTCCAAGCAGTCAAGGAGAGAGGATGCATTTTCTCTGCTCCTGCAGAGGCAAGATGTCTTTCTGTAATATACCAGCTTTGAACTGTAAATAAAGCAATGTAGAGTATGTAGCACGTATTGCTCATCCTTCCGCTGGGCACCAGAGACTCTGCTTTAAATCAACACGTGGTTATGGACTCCAGAGGTCGAATCGGAGTGCCGGCAAAGGATCGGAATGCAGAGGGACGGATCGGAAAGGAATCTGCTCTGCGCGTAGAAGTGATTGATGAGGTATGTGCTACTGCTCCGGGCAGCCTGCCAGCTTCAAGATAATGGCTTTATGGCTGGACTTTGAACTTTTAAAGCCGGTTTTGCAGGAATAGGCAAAAGGCTCCCAGGCACAAGTCACTATGCTGGGGAAATCGAAAGTAACTTTTAAGTGTGCCTTTGTAATGAGGCAGCTGCAGCAGTGACGCAGCAAGATTTAAAGCAGCATATGACGCTGAAGGCTAATGCCAGAGTCATGATGGCCCTTCAGGATGCTTGTGGGATTCCTAAGCTCAACAAGAAAAATTACAGCGACTGGGTTCAGTATGCAGAGGCAATTCTGCGGAAGAGGGTTTGTTTGAGGTGATTACAGGAACCCCCCCAGTTCCAGTTACAGATGCATGGGAAGCTAAGGATTCCAAAGCAAGGGAACTCTTACATTGATAGTATCCCCAGAAGAGCTCTGTCTATTGCGTGATAAGACCTCAGCCAGAGAAATTTGGGACGCTCTGAAAGAGGCTCACTTAAGGACAGAAGCTGGATCAACTATGTTTTACTTTAACAAGCTGCACAATATGGCTCTTGCTGAAGGTGGAGATGTGCGTTTACATCTCATGGAGATGCAAAATCTCAGACATGAGCTGCAACAGAGAGGACTCAACTTTCCAGAGGCTGTGTATTCTTTCATGATACTACAATCTTTGGGTTCAGGTTGGGAGTCTGTTGCAACCCAGATTGCTGTGCAACCAACTGCTCAGCTGACAGTGGACTTTGTTACTGCCGTGATTTTAAATGAAGCAGATCGCCGGGGTGCTAGCTGCATGGGCAAGGGAGTCTTCACAGACGTCATCCCATAGTGCAGTGGAACCACCAGATGGCGCCAAAGCTTTGAAGGCAGTGAAATGCTACTCGTGTGGACGTCTAGGCCATATGAAGAGGGAATGCAGACATCCCAGGGCCAAGACAGAGCAGCGCAGCGAAGGCTCATCGCGCGGAAAAGGCCGAGGCAAAGGCAAAGGTCCGGTGTCTAGGACAACGCAGCACAAGGCTATGGTTTCACGCTTCACTCCAAAGGTTGCAGAGGTCCAGAAGACGTCTAGATCTTTCTTCGTTGTTGATTCAGCGGCGACCCACCACATGTGCAACGATAAGAAACTGTTTGTGTCTTTTACACCGCAGGAAGGTGCGATTCACCAGGCGGATGACCACACTATTCCCAGTAAAGGCTACGGAACTGTTGTTCTTCACAGTTTGGACTTATCGATACAGAATGTGCTTTACGTGCCAGACGCCAAACATAATCTGCTCAGCGTTGGACAGCTGAATGAGCGGAACATTGACGTTTCCTTCAAGAACAAGAAGTGCATCATCACAAAGAAAAATGATTATGTATTGCATGCAGAATATGTTGATCATTTGTTTGTTTTGTATTATGATGATGTGGTGCAGGATGACACTTGTTGCATTGCAGGTTCTAACAAAAGTTTGCATGCAGAATGTATTCACGATTTTCATCGCAAATTTGGTCATTTGCATTTTGAGGCAGTATCTAAAATGCCTGCCTTGGTTGAAGGTATGACTATTAAACCCTGCAGGTACCACATGAAGTGCAAAGCATGCGCAGCAAACAAGGTGAAAATGGCTGCGAAAGGTAAGGTGTCTAGTAGGAAAGCTACAGAACCATACCAGGTTGTTCATGCTGATTTGGTTGGACCACTTGCGCCCTCTTTGGGTGGAAATAGATACTTCATGGTTCTCATTGATGCATTTTCTAGATATATTTTTGTGTACAATCTCAAGCAGAAATCGGAGGCTTTTCCTAGGTTCAAGGAATTCTGTGCTTGGTTGGAAAATGTGCATGGTAAGAAGATAAAGACTCTTTTCAGTGATCGCGGGGGGGAATTCACTTCTCAGCAGTTTGAAGCTTTTCTGACTGAGAAAGGAATTCAACACGATTTGTCTAGTCCTCGCTCGCCATGGCAGAATGGACTTGCGGAACGGGCAAATCAAACATTGCTTCAAGGATTAAAAACCTTGCTGCATGATGCCAATCTTCCAGAGAGTTATTGGGCCGAATCTCTCTCGTGTTTTGTTTACAGTTACAATCGCAGGTTATCTTCAGCGATTGGTTGTACCCCCTATGAGAAGATGTTTGGCAAGAAGCCATACATCAAACACATGAAGATTTTGGTTCTGACATGTGGGTTCACTCACCACAAAACTCCAAGTTAGACAAGCGTGGATTGCATGGTATCTTTCTAGGTTATCAGAAAGGGTCTTACAGAATAATGATGACTGACTCTAAGACAATTAAGCTCACGAGAAGTGTCGAGTACAATGCAAAGTGGGGGGAGAATGTGGGAATTTTCCAATGTTATCCTGATGACGGTGATGAGACTGAGGATAGTCAAAAGCAACCACAACAGCCCACACCCACTGATGAAGGTTCTGAGTCTGAATCTGAAACTGAATCGGGTGATTCAGAGGATTTCAAGAGTGCGAAAGCCTCTATGCGACCCTCTGAAAGCTCTGATCAAGAATTGGAGGAACCATTGTTCACAATAGGTCGTTTTTCTCCTAAGAAGGAAGAGGAGAGTGTTGAAGACTTAAGGCTAATTCGTAGGTCACAGAGAGCCACAAAAGGCAAACCTCCAAAGAGATTTGCTGATGAGTTTGCTACGATAGCAGTAACAGCTGTTAAAAGCTCCAAGAAGGTATTTGAACCTTCAAGTTTCCAAGAAATCCAGGGTTTGGATTCAAAGGAAGCTGAGCCATGGTTAAATGCCATGAAGGCTGAGCTTGATTCCTTAGAAAGGAACAAAACATGGGAGCTAGTTCCAGTAGTTCCAGGAATGAAACTGCTTGGAAGCAAATGGGTCTTCAAAGCGAAGACAGATCAAAATGGCAAGATAGTCAGACACAAAGCCAGATTGGTAGCCAGAGGTTTTGCACAGGTACCAGGTGAAGACTATCACGAGACCTATTCACCCACAGTGAGATATGAAAGCATTAGGCTTATGCTCAAGCTAGCTGCAGAGGAAAATCTACACATTAGTCACCATGATATTAATACAGCTTTTCTGTACGGATCTCTAGATGAATCACTTTATATGCTTCCACCTGATGGCGTACAGGTAAAACAGGGATTTGTTTGTGCTCTGAAGAAATCCCTTTATGGTCTCAAACAAAGTGCACGGTGTTGGCACACAAAACTCACTGAAGTATTGTTTTCTCTAGGTTTTCAGCAAGGGAAAGCTGATCCATGTGTATTTGTCAAAGAGGAGGGGCAAAAGAAACTGTACTGTTTGTTTTATGTTGATGATTTATTATTCTTTTGGAAAGATGTTGCAATGTACAATAGCGCCCTAGCTCAACTGAAAGAGCACTTTGACATGAAAGATCTTGGTGAGGTAAACAACTACCTATCTCTGGAAATAGAGAGAGATCAAGATGGTAACATTCTAGTACACCAGTCACGGAAAATTGCTGATGTGTTAAGCAAACTAAATCTGATGGATGCTAACCCTGTAGACACACCGATGACAACAGGTTATCAGGTAGATGACACTGAAGAAGCATTTTCTGACACTACACTGTACAGGAGTGTGCTAGGCAAGCTAAACTTCATTGCCAGATGTTCAAGACCAGACATTGCTGTTAGCTGTAATTTGCTAAGCAGACAAGTCAACAATCCTAGTGTCAAGGATTGGAAAGCTCTGAAACGCATAGCGCGGTATTTGAAAGGCACTATGCATTACAGACTGAGATTTAACAATCAGAAGTCTGGTGGTCTTGAGATATTTGCAGATGCAAGTTTTGGAAGTGACGCTACAGACAGGAAAAGTACGTCTGGAGTTTGCTATATGTACAATCAGAGTCTGTTTGATTGGTCATGCAAGAAGCAAACAACAGTTAGCTTAAGTACTTGTGAAGCCGAACTGAATGCACTGTCTTATTCACTTAAGGATTGTGAATGGTTAGTACAATTGTGCAAAGATATGAAAATTCCTGTCAAATGTCCAATCCAGGTTTACCAGGACAACAAAGCATGTTTGGCTTTGCTGAAGTCTGAAGGTTGTAAGCAAAGCACAAAGCACTTGCAATTAAAGTTGCAGCATGCTAGGGAATGTATTCAGAAGGGACTCGTAACGGTGTCCTATATGCCAGGTAATGAAATTCCTGCTGATGTATTGTCCAAGATTGTATCAAGGGATCAACACTGTACCTATGTGCAGAAGTTGGGTTTGTACTGATATTGTACGAACACGCTGCCCAGTGATGTTCACAGAAAGGGGAGGATGTTGGTTTCTGTTTTCCTTCACTGTGCAGCAACTGCAGTCACAAGACAGGTGTTTACATTCCACAGTCTGTACTGTTGGGTTTCTCACGGGAAAGGAGACTGGATGTGACGTACACTGGTTTCCTGTTTTCACTGTGTGTTTTCTCTCCAAGCTGTCGAGGAGAGAGGATGCATTTCTCTGCTCCAGCAGAGGCAAGATGTCTTTCTGTAATATACCAGCTTTGAACTGTAAATAAAGCAATGTAGAGTATGTAGCACGTATTGCTCATCCTTCCGCTGGGCACCAGAGACTCTGCTTTAAATCAACAGAGGATACACCAACAAACTCACACAGGAGAGAAACCATTTGAATGTATGGACTGTGGAAAGAGCTTCAGTCAAAGTGGAAACCTTAGAAAACATCAACGAACGCACACCAGGGAGAAACCATATAAATGCATTGAATGTGGAAAGAGCTTCAGTGCAAGTGGAGCCCTTAGAAGACATCAACGAACTCACACGGGGGAGAAACCATTTAAATGCATTGAATGTGGAAAGAGCTTCAGTGAAAGTGGTCACCTTAGAAGTCATCAACGAACTCACACGGGGGAGAAACCATTTAAATGCATTGAATGTGGACAGAGCTTCAGTCGTAGTGGAGCCCTTAGAACACATCAACAAACTCACACAGGGGAGAAACCGTTTGAATGTATGGAATGTGGAAAGCGCTTCAGTGAAAGTAGAAATCTTAGAAGACATCAACGAACTCACATGGGGGAGAAACCATTTAAATGCATTGAATGTGGAAAGAGCTTCAGTCTTAGTGGAGTCCTTAGAATACATCAACGAACTCATATGGCAGAGAAACAATTTAAATGCATTGAATGTGGAAAGAGCTTCACTCAAAGTGGAGTCCTTAGAATACATCAACGAACTCATACAGGGGAGAAACCATTTAAATGCATTGAATGTGGAAAGAGCTTCACTCAAAGTGGAGACCTTAGAATACATCAACGAAATCATACAGGGGAGAAACCATTTAAATGTATTGAATGTGGAAAGAACTTCAGTGAAAGTAGAAGCCTTAGAAGACATCAACGAACTCACACAGGGGAGAAACCATTTAAATGTATTGAATGTGGAAGTAGCTTCAGTGAAAGTAGAAACCTTAGAATACATCAACGAACTCACACAGGGGAGAAACCATTTAAATGTATTGAATGTGGAAAGAACTTCAGTGAAAGTAAAAACCTTAGAATACATCAACGAACTCACACTGGGGAGAAACCATTTAAATGTATTGAATGTGGAAAGAGCTTCAGTTGTACTGGAGCCCTTAGACTACATCAACGAACTCACTCGGGGGAGAAACCGTTTAAATGCATTGAATGTGGAAAGAGTTTTAGTCGTAGTGGTCCCCTTAGAAGACATCAACAAACACACACGGGGGAGAAACCATTTAAATGCATTGAATGTGGAAAGGGCTTCAGTCACAGTGGAAACCTTCGAAGACATCAACGAACTCACACGGGGGAGAAACCGTTTGAATGTATGGAATGTGGAAACAGCTTCAGTGAAAGTAGAAACCTTAGAATACATCAACGAACTCACACAGGGGAGAAACCATTTAAATGCATTGAATGTGGAAAGAGCTTCAGTCGTAGTGGAGTCCTTAGAATACATCAACGAACTCATACGGTAGAGAAACAATTTAAATGCATTGAATGTGGAAATAGCTTCAGTCAAAGTGGAAACCTTCGAAGACATCAACGAACTCACACAGGGGAGAAACCATTTAAATGCATTGAATGCGGAAATAGCTTCATTCGTAGTGAAGACCTTAGAATACATCAACGAACTCACACAGGAGAGAAACCATTTACATGTATTGAATGTGGAAAGGGCTTCAGTCAAAATGGAGCCCTTAGAATCCATCAACGAACTCATACGGTAGAGAAACATTTTAAATGCATTGAATGTGGAAATAGCTTCAGTCACAGTGGAAGCCTTCGAAGACATCAACGAACTCACATGGGGGAGGAATCATTTAAATGCATTGAATGTGGAAAGAGCTTCAGTCGTAGTGGAAACCTTCGAAGACATCAACAAACACACGGGGGAGAAACCATTTAAATGCATTGAATGTGGAAAGGGCTTCAGTCAAAATGGAGGCCTTAGAATCCATCAACGAACTCACATGGGGGAGAAACCATTTCAATGCATTGAATGTGGAAAGAGCTTCAGACATAGTGGATACCTTAGAATACATCAACGAACTCATACGGCAGAGAAACCATTTAAATGTATTGAATGTGGAAAGGACGGAGTGCAGACCTTAATATTTATAAGCGAATTCACCCTGGTGAAAAGCCATATCAATGTATGCAGTGTTCCACTCAAGGTTCACTCATTACTTCACATCAAGAAACTCATATAGGCAGATATCAATTTTAAATACATGGAACCCATGTGATGTTTTGGTGTTTGTATTTAAATTTTTATACACATATATATGTATTAAACTAATGAAGATCACCTGTGCTAAATGTACAAAGTAAGTTGCAAGTTGTTGCTAGATAAACAGGGGGAGAGTGTGAATCTGGAATGCTCAAGGTGTGTGATGAATCTGTTGAGTTTTGACCCCTGCCCTTCACTGCCAAAATGATGGGCTGCCCTTGTCTTGTGGATCAGCATCTGTCAGGCTTCAGGGAATTGGCTTCCTTCCCCCTTGGCCGTAGATAAGCAGAACAAATGAAAAGGAGTCTTCTTACCAGTTAGAAACTTTAATGATCCCAGCTAGCGAACAAAGAACCCGTCTTTTAGGAATGGCAGTGCTCCCAATGAAGAGGTCCACCCCCTCACATCCCTAGTCACCCCGTCACTTCTCCGTCTCGTAATCTTAGGTAGTTCCCCCTGTGTTTTCCGTCCTGCCACTTTCGCAGTTCTCCCTGACCTTGGGGAAAGCAGATGGATGCTTTCCAGAGACAGTGAATCTGTTAACTCTCTCTCTTCCAGTGTTCTGCAAGCTGTTCCCCATCTAGTATTTCCCAGCTTCTGCCTTCTGAACTATGTTCCTCTGCAAACCACTGTTCCAAATCTATACAGTCCTCCTGCTCCTGGGAAGATTCAGGAGGAGGTGCCCACAAATGTGCCTCAGTGCAGCTCTCCTCAGCTGGGTCCCTGGTTAGGTTTTGGTTTAGGGGAGAAAGCATGGGCCTGGCCCTTGGGTGGGGGCGAGGGGAGAAGGGAAGAGAAGCAGAGGGGATGCTTCCTTGCAAGGCAAGTTCTTGTTTCTCCTGAGTGCGCGCCTGTAATTAGCGAGCGTGCTTTTATCTGGAGTGAATCCCTTTGTCTTGGAGTGCAAGATGATTCAGGAGGCCTTAGAGCAAAGCACGTGTATCGCACATGTGCCTTGAGAGCAATGGTAGAGGGATGGTCGGGGTGCTTAAAAGGAGGCTGTTGTTTCTTTGGGGGGGGGGGAGAGTCTTAGCGACGTCGACCAGGAAGAGCCAAGCGCGCCTACAGGATACATGTGCTTGCTACTCTGAATTGAAAGATGGGCAGTGGAAGTTGCACATGCTTATGCTAAAAGCATATCTAATGAAGATTAAGTTAATGGCAACCTTTTTTTTAATTCATATTCTTTATTGATTAAAAGAATTTGCATGTCTATACAAATATTATGTACTATCTCTTAACAAGTAGAAAATAAGAAAATAATATAAAATAGAAAATTTATAAATAAAAAATAAATAAGTAACAAAGATAAGAAACCAAGAAATAATAGTAAGAAAAAAAGACAAAGTTATTTACATAGTAAAAGTACTCAACAACACAATCCTTCCCATCCTTCTCATTATATTGCTTGATATAACATTCTTTTTTATCCAGGCTTACATTATATAATATCATTTCTTTCTGCTTTGTATACATTTCTTTTCTTTACAAATATCACTCAGTTTCTGCTCATATGGAGTTATTTGTACAATAAAGTTTTATATAATTCTTAATTATTATCCATTCTCTAGTTGTTTTTTGTTTCCATATTCCTCTAACTGATCTCGTCAATTTTGCTAATTGTAGATATTATAACATGAGTATCTGCCAGTCTGTAATCTCTGGGAGCGTTTCATTTTTCTAGTTCCTTGCTATAACGGTTCTAGCTGCTGTCATACCATACATAAACAATGATCTTATAACTTTTTAAATTTCTGATGGTAATATACCAAGTAGGAAAATCTTTGGCGTTTTTTTTTTTAAAAAGTAATTTTAAATAGTTTCTTAAACTCGATATAAATATCATTCCAGTATTTGCCAATGGCAAACACCACCACATATGATAGCATGACCCCTCCTCTTTTTTACGTCAGGTTGATGTTTTCCCTTTATACATTTTAGCAAGCTTTTTTGAGGTAAGATGCCATCTATATACCACTCCCTGCAAGGCCTTTCCCACCTGGCCTACGGGGCGGGGCCCAGACTCACCCAGCCCTACTATGTGAAATATGTATTCTGTAGTTGACCTCCTTTGTAATGTGTTGTTTTGAAATCTTTAAGATAATAGTTTAGTTTTCTGTTACGTTGCTTTGACCGTATACTCTATATTTCACATTTTTCACATTGTTTTATTTATGTTTTATTGACTTAGTGTGCTGTGAACCGCTTTGAGGTTTTTCTTGAAAATATAAAGTGGAATAGAAATTAAATAAAAAAAGTTTCGAGCAGGGATATCCAACATGGGGTTGCTCAGATGTTGGGCAACAACTCCCGTTAGCCTCAGCCCGTACGGCCAAGATTGATGGGAGTTGTAGTTCAAAAGCTCAAGGGTGGAAAATCTCATGTTTCTTACAACATTTCATTATGAATCATTATAGGTAAAACTTTTGTTGCTACAGAGCTCATTTTTAGGGAGCAGCTCATCACTTCTTTTTTATAAACAAACCCAAATATATTGACACACTACTTTAAAATCAAATTTCAGAACAGAGGAAAACATAAACTTTTTTTTTTAAAAAAGACCTTTTTTAACTTTACAAAAAATAGTGTTATCAATGCATGATTTGCTTTTCATATGTATAAAAATGTTTATTTCCTGGTCCACCTCCCATCACTGTGGGGAGAGCCTGGGGCACGGGATAAGAATGCAGGGTCGGCCTGACATCCATCAGTTCTCTGGCTCCGACACCGGCCATCCAGGCATTTCTGCAAAACTCACAGTCAGGACATGAAGGCGAGAGCCACCCTCTCTTTGTGACCCCCACCCTGTCTGAGGAAATCCCGTATACAAATAGCCAATTCAATTTCCTAGCTGCCAGCCTTTATGTGGCCAAAATGGAACCCTTCTTCCAAGGAAGAGAGGGAGGTACCAGTAACCTTGAGGCAGCTCCATTGGTTACGTATATCCAATAAATTTTTAGGTGGGGGGAAAAGATAGCAGTGGAGTGTGCTGGAAAAGGGAAATGTTTTGGATCAGAAGCACTCAGTGCCTCAGCATTTTCATCCATGTCTTTACTGGACAGGCTGCTCTGGTGCACTGGAGATAGAGAGAGTACCTTGCCTTCAACTTCTCAATGGCACCATTCACCTCCCATCATCCACAGCCATAGATGACGATTGCTGAGCCTGATGGGGGTTGTAATTCAGCAACATCTGGAGGGCCAGAGGTTCCCAAACTTTCCTGCAGGCTCCGTCCTAAGACCGAGTTCATCAGAGTTGGGTCCTTGTTGACTAAGAGTGCCGGGGATGATGGGAGTTGTAGTCCAACAACATCTAGGGACCCAAGATTGAATGACGTCGGCTTGTAGGATATATTGTTGCCTAGGCTAAGCAGTCCTGGGTCTTGGGAGGAGGCCACACGTATACAATCTTGAGTTTCATGATGGAAGAAAGGAAGGATATGGCAGCAGAAAAGTAGAATGTTTCTTAAATAAATCAAGGCCCCTGGTTGCTTTTTGCTAAGCCCTGCTATATAGGCCTGCAGGACTCCGTCTCATGTTGGATTTTGGGCAGGGGGAAGTGTGTTGCCAGAATACTTTTTTCATTCAGCTTGCATTCTTTGTGTATAAAGAATGTAAATAATTTTAACTGATTTTAATAGCGTTCTGATATTGCTTTAAACTGCCGAGGGTGGGGCCTTATAGTGAAGGGTGGCAAAAAAATAATCTGAATACAGTGCTCTGCATTGGGATACAAAAGGAGCAAGCTAGAATGAGTTTTGTTTGCCTAACTGGGCTCCCAAAATTGTTTCCTATGGTAATGACCCAGAAGTGAGTGAAAAGCAAAATGAAAGCTATTCAGTTAGCTAACCTTGACCGTGGCAGAAATGCATTTTCCCACCTTCCCTTGAAACAGCCTTGCCCTACAACGCTGTGTCACAAGCTGTGCATGGCAACGGTCCCAGATCTCTAAAGGCAGGCAGTGGGGATGAGTGATGTGTTGCCCTGTGAGGAACACAAAACGGCACTGGAGGCTGCCATTGTGGGCTCCATTGTGTTCACTGTCACCTCCTGATTGCTTGCCTTCTCCACATCCACACCACATTTAAATCACTCTAGTACCACTTCAGTCAGTCATGGATTCCCCCAAAGCATTCTGGGAGCTGTAGTGAGTCTGGCTGGCTGCTGCTGTTGCTGCTGCATGTCACTGTTCACTGTTTCTGTATGTCTGTGAGGGGAATACAGGACACTGCAAAAGACACAGGGTGCCATAAGCTAGACAGAGAGTGATCCCTCCCTATACATGTAAATAGAGAGACTTCTGTTCAGGAGATTTCTGTATAAATAACTCTTTATATAGGGGAAATGGGGACTAAGTGAGGTTGGAGTGGAACCATGTTTGCATGAATATGGCAATGTAAAATATGTTCTCCATTTAATTTTTTATTAAAATAATCCATTCAGTTACCCAGAAGAGTCATTAGGCTTTTTTTGCTGTAAGCTACTTCATACATTGTAAGAAGTGGGTCAGGAAACCCTTGATCCCGCTCCTTAAAATACCAAATGGACTCCTAAATAAATATGCATAGGCCCCGGCTGCACTGCAGCCCACATCTCAGAATAACAGATAGGCACCATACTGAGATTTCTGTAACTACTCCATACAGGGCATGTTATAAGGTGATAGTAAACCTGCTG